ATTTGTGGGATGCAATGAAAGCCTTCCTCAGAGGAAAATTAGTGCACCGAGTTCCCACATCAGGAAATCAGAATGAATACAAATAAATAACTTGATGCTAGACCTCAAACACCTAGAAAAATAAGAGCAAGTCAAGCCCAAAGCCAAAACAAGAGAGGAAACTATAAAAATCAGAGCAGAAATCAATGCAATAGAGACTAACAAAAAAATCCAAAGAATCAATGAATCAAAGAGTTGTTTCTTTGAAAGAATAAATAAAATCGATAAGCCCCTAGCCAACCTTATTTTTAAAAAGGGAAGAAAAGCTCAAATTCATGCAATAAGAAATGAAAAAGCTGAAATCACTACAGACCCAAAAGAAATACTGAAGATCATCAACACCTATTTCGAAAACCTCTACTCTCAAAAGTTTGATAACACAGAAGAAATAAACAGATTCTTAGAAACATGTGAAGTACCAAAGGTAGATCAAGAGGATGTAAAACTGTTGAACAACCCAATCTCTATTAATGAAATTGAAACTGTAATTAAGTCTTACCTACAAAGAAGAGCCCAGGCCCAGATGGATTCACTGCAGAATTCTACAAGAAATATAAAGAAGACCTAATGCCGACACTCCTCAAACTATTCAATGAAATTGAAAGGGAAGCAATCCTTCCTAAGTCATTCCTGGAAGCAAATATTACTCTCGTACCATAACCTGAGAAAGACCCCACTAAAAAAGAGAACTATAGACCGATCTCCCTAATGAACACAGAAAATCCTCAATAAAATATTGGCAAATAGGATCCAGCAAATCATCAGCAAATTATACACCATGACCAAGTGGGATTCATCCCAGGAATGCAAGGATGGTTCAACATATGCAAATCAATAAATGTAATCCACCATATCAATAAAGCCAAAAATAAGAATCACATGATCATTTCTATAGATGCAGAAAAAGCCTTTAATAAGGTCCAACATTTATTCATGATAAGAACTTTACAGAAAATTTTAATAAATGGTCTTTACCTCAATATAATAAAGGCCTTTTATGAGAAACCAACAGCCAGCATCATACTAAATGGTCAAAAATTGAAAGCCTTTACTTTAAAATCAGGCACAAGACAAGGATGTCCTTTACCACCACTCCTATATAATATAGTACTTGAAGTACTAGCCAGAGCAATTAGGCAAGAGAGAGAAATAAAAGGGGTAAAGATAGGAAAAGAAAAAGTTAAATTATCATTGGTTGCAGATGACATGATACTCTACTTAGAAGACCTCCTAAATTCCATTGAAATATTCTTAGATACAATAAATAAATTCAGTAATGTGGCTGGGTACAAAATCAATACTCAGAAATCAATAGCATTCCTGTACACGAACAACAAAATCACAGAGAGGGAAATTAGAGAAACTACACTCTTCATATTAGCAAGCAAAAAAATGAAATATTTAGGAATTACTCTTACAAAAGAAGTGAAAGACTTATACAGGGGAAATTATAATACACTTAAAAAACAAATTGAAGATAATCTCAGAAAATGGAAAGACATCCCTTGCTCATGGATAGGAAAAACAAACATTGTGAAAATGGCCATTCTCCCAAAACTGTTATTCAGACTCAAAGAAATCCCAATAAAAATACCATCAACATACCTTATAGATCTAGAGAAATCACTCCTAAATTTCATCTGGAACCAGAAGACACCTAGAATAGGAAAGGCAATGCTAAGCAGCAAAGACAAAACAGGAGGCATCACAATCCCTGACTTGAAGTTATACTACAAAGCAACAGTAGTAAAATCAACATGGCATTGGAATCAAAACAGAGGTGAAGATCAATGGAATAGCTTAGAAGATACAACCACAACTACAAACACACTCAACCACCTTATCTTTGATAAAGGAGCCAAGCAGGTTCACTGGAAGAACGACAGTCTCTTTAATAAATTGTGCTGGAAAAACTGGCTCTCCATTTGCCAAAAACTAAAGCTAGACCCATGTCTATCACCATGTACTAAATTAAAATCTAAATGGGTCAAATATATGAATATTAAAATAGAAACACTAAATCTATTGGAAGACAAATTGGGTAGAAACCTTGAAGAAATAGGAGTAGGTAGAGCATTCATGAACAGGACTCAAACCACACGGCAAATACTTCCCAGAATCAATAACTGGGACCATTTCTTATTAAAATGTTTCTGCATGTCAAAAGAAATCTCTAGCATAGTGAAAAGAAAACCCACAAACTGGGAAAAGATTTTAGTGAACTCTCTCTCAGACAAGGAACTCTTGTCTAAAACATATAAAGAATTTATAAAACTCAGATCCACAAATTCAAAGATCCAATCCAAAAATGGGCATCTGAGATGAATACGCACTTCCAGATGAAGAAATGCAAATGGCAAATAAATACATGAAAAAATGTTCATCATCATTGGTTATTAGAGAAATGCAAATTAAAACCACACTGAGATACCATCTCACTCCTGAAAGAATGGCCAGGATCAAGAACACCAACAGCAACAAATACTGGAGAGGCTGTGGGGAAAAAGGAACTCTGCTACACTGTCGGTGAGAGTGTAGACTGGTGCAGCCTTTGTGGAGGTCAGTCTGGAGATTTCTCAAAAAGCTGGGATTGGAAGTGCCATTTAGTCTAGCTATGCCACTTCTAGGCATATTCCCAGAAGAACTGAAAGCATCATACCACAGTGGTATATGTGCACCTATGTTTATAGCAGCACAATTTGTAATCATCAGATCTTCGAAACAACCCTAGTGTCCATCAACTGAGGAATGGATAAAAAAAGTTGTGGTATTTCTATACAAAGGAGTGTTATTCAGATATAAAGAAGGACCACATTCAAATATTTATCAATAAATGGGCGCATCTTGAGACCATACTCGTAAGTGAAATAAATCAATCTCGCATGTATGAATACCGAATAGTTTCCCTAATGTAAGTAATGATTCAAATATATAAAAATATACAGTAATCAGGATTCCTCATTATGTGGCCTTGAAGCCTATAAAGTTTTCACTTATTAATTGGAAAGGCTTTATTCTGGGCTTCTTGATATTGAAATATTTGAAGCTACACTGTATGAAGTTTTATTCAAATATTTCATGGTAAAAGACAGACACTATGGTAACTACTATTAAGTTGGGTTATTTGGTGGTGAAGCACTAGGTTGCTTAAACAGTCATGCTTTGACCTGTCTTGTTATATTGTTATGTCCTGTTTTATCTCAATCTCTCCCTTATTCATTAAAAAAATTATTTAGTTATTTTTTATGTTGTTTTTAATTAAGGGGAAAAATTTTTAAAAATTAGCAGGATATATAATAGTAACTTTTTTGATTTCCTATTAACTTGTTTTGAAGTCCTGTAATACTCCCACAATCTTGTTTTGACTGATTAGCCTCTGTTCCATTCTGTATGATAGTATCAAGTTTGAGAGTATAGGCAACTACTTTGAAGGCAATAAGATTCACTAAGATGCCCATTCTGGGTTGACTATTGTCTCCTTTGGAAGTCCTGTAATATTTAAAATGCTTAAGTTTTATTGGTTGTTCTCTACTGTTTTGTTCAACTTTATAATTTCTAATGAGATAGACAATTCTTTTTAAGGAAACAAGAGACATTGTTGATAACCATTGTTGATAACCTTGTACTCTGTTTTACATCATGTGCTATGTCTCTCCTTGGTTTTGACTGACAGCTTTGTTTTGCCACATTTGACTTTATTCTTTCCCCCCAAAAAAGTAATAAGAACTAAGGAATAATAAAACTGAAAATGTGTAAATTTTGCTGTAAAATAGAGAGGGGAAAAAGTGCTCTGAAGGATACAACAGCAAGTGTGTTTAGGGGTGTTAATTAGCTGACCATGTTAATGTGTTTGGTTGGATCACTGAACACAACTGTTTGCAGTCTCACTGTTTGAATGTCCACTTTGTATGCTTTGATACTGTGATTTGAGCAACTATCTCTAAGATGATAATATATAATCTATTAACTGGTGATTTCTTACTGGTTTTTTTTTTTTTGTAGTTCTGTATTCCTTGTACCCTTATACCGCTTTGTTTTGTTTTGTTTTTTCTCTTTTTCCTTTTAAATAAAATAAAAAATAGAAACTCAGTGCTAATTCAGTAGCATTATGATGTAAAATCTAGCAATACTGTTTTTCACTGTTCAAAGTGATATTAGTCTAGTCTGTTATGTTCAATTTTTGCATATGTAAAATAAGGACAGCTACAATGGAGTGAATGAGAGACTATATGGTAGTCATTATGGACTTCCCCAATTTCAGGCCTTGAAGACCTAAAAAGCCTTCATCATCCTATAATGATTTGATGAGTCCTATAGTGTTTGATATGTATTCAATGTGTGTGAAGATGGGGACAACTATTTGGAAGAAAACTAGAGACAATAAGATAGACAATGAAATCTCCAGTGGACTTGCTTTGAAATCCATTTTTCTTAAAATTGTTTTCTTATGATCTGTTTTGTTCTGTTCAATCTTACCCTCTTTAAAAACAAAAAAGAAATTGAGTTTGATTCCATGAAAAAAGAGCCACTGCATTTTGACAGTAATGAAGCTGATAAGGTCACCAGACCTTGGTTTTCAGAATGTGATTCTGTCACCAGTTTTGAGGTGGTTTGAACAAGGAAGCTATTGGAGGAAGGAAGCCTAGACACAGGTTGATGACAGTGTCTATCCAGGCTAAAATGAGGACACTTTAGTGAGCACAGTGAGCCTGGGAGAGGTCAATGTTTGTTACTCTTGCTCATCACTCAATAGTCATGATCTGCAAGAGTGAGGAATCTGGTCGTAGTGCAGGAAGGTTCCTGACCAAGGGTCTGCTTTTGTGATGTGGATCCTCAGGACACGTTTGTCATCAGGATATTACATATGGAATGGATTAATACCAACCCCAATCGCCAGTCCTCTGAAAACCCGCCCAATGAAAGACCCAAGTTGTATGACAATAAAAACACAAGTCGAGATGTGCAAGGAAAGAAATTTAATGAAGCAAGACGTTGAAACCTTTACATTATTCAGTGATGACAGGGAATCCTTGGAAGATTGAGGACATCAGGTGAGAATGTTTTTATTATGTCTGTCAACAATCCTTTTCAACTTTTACCTGACATTGAAAAAAGAGGGAGAAAGAAGTAAAGGTGAGGTGAGTTATTTAGGTTCTGTAAAGGCAGGTCAATTCAACTAAGAGGCTAATAAAGTCTGCCAAAGAAACTAAAAAATAGAGTGGGAAATTCAGTATGTGACCTGGGGCAATTACATCAAGCCATGCATATTACAAAATATCTTAGTCTAAGCCAGGCAACTCCACAGTCATGAGACTAAAGTGTATGTGTCATGTCTCAGTGGAAGGATTAGGGAACAAGAAGTCAAAGTAACCCAGTTGTGTCTTCTGAATCCTCAGGACTATGGAGATCTCTCAGTTATGCAAAGGTGGCTGGGAGATGAGACTCAGGGCAGGGCTGGGTGGGTCCATAGACAGGACATTCTAATGTGCCTATCAGTCTGCAGAAAAATGCACTGCAGACTGTGAGCTCTGATGGAGGATGGCTCCAGCTCTTTCATTACAATCTGCACACTGCTCACACTCCCAATCCTCCCCAGGACATTACAATGATGGTGACCTTTTTGATGAGTGAAGCTCACCTGCATGAAAGTGACCAGGAACAGAGGAAGTAGGCTTGGTCCTGAAACAGCCCTGCCTAAAACTTATTTATTCTGAGATCACCACAGTAAATACATCATCCAGCGATGGGCCCTGAGATGATGGGACCTGCCCAGGGTGCTATGTGCGTCTGAGTGTATCTCAGCAGATGTGCTATTTGCATCCTCCCTCTGTCCTTGGTTCTTTCTATGAAGAGCATACCAGCAAGATAGGTACCAATGGCACCTGTGTCCCCATGTAAAAGAGGGCCAGACTTATTTGTGTCTGTCTGTCTGTGCAGAAGTCTTATGTATAAAGAGAAAGGAATTACCAGCACTTTCAGTATTATTCCTCTGTATTTTGAGTCAATCTTATTTACGCACTGCTTCACTTCCATCATTGAAGCCACAACTTCTTCAGGTGCTTGGTATTTTTTAATACTCAATTCAAAAGCAAAGTCAGACCATGTCAGGAAAGCTACAATGTCCTTCGTAAGACTTAAACATGGAATAGCATTGGCTGAAACAAAGGTAAACAATTAACATTATTTTAATGGAAGTAAATTTTCCCAGTGGTATCTGGAAGTCAGACAGCACAGAGCAACTTGCACTTTACACTCTAACCCACAATTTTCCAAAACAAACCATGATGCCCTGCATCATGGTTACAATTAACTATGCATCTCACATCAGGAAGAGAGCTATGATTGCATGGTTTCAGTTCACTCATTTAGTATTTCAGTCTTTTAAGACCACACACACTATTTTTGCAGTTTCTTTGGTTTGCAGAAAATACTGGTTGACATTTAATACTTACCCGTTTCTGCTAGGTATTTGCACCTCACCAGTGTTGAACATTGCAGAAGAGCAGGTTTTTGTCATTGCTGAAGTACATGGTAGAGGGACAATGTCTTTTTGGAAACAGGGTCTTGCTGTGTATCCCAAGCTGTGTATCCCTTCAGACACATCCTGTTGCCTCAGGTGACCCAAAACTTGCAATGATTCCCCAGGCACTGGCTCTCATGTACTGGGATTCTAGGTGTGTGCCATAAACCAAAGATAGAGGCACAACCTTGGCAAGATCAGAATAGTGAGAGAAAACCTGGGGAAGTGCAGATGAAACCACTAAGATGTGCAGAGGTGCTATTTTGAGGTTAGGCTGAAGAAATGATAGTGTGCCATTAGATAAGCTCTTGGCTAAAAAGCAGCAATTATGAGAAGCAGTTTTATTTAGCATCAGAAAGTGACACAAAAGTTACGATGCCTCTAATGTGCAATGAAGTCCACATCCCTATTGACCCATTCCTGACCCCACTTGGATCACAAAAAAAATAAGAAAACATTTGGTCAGTACTGCACATAAAACAAAGACATCTCGAAGGACACTATACAGAGGAGGCGCCTGCCAGGTTCCAATGCAATCCCATGGCAGATGCCACACCACAGGAAGAATTTGGAGAGAGTAGGGTCAGGGGCAAAACAGAAAGAGAACACTTTCATTAAGTGAGCAGAAAGACTAAGAGAGGGTAGTGGAGTTCCAGAAACAAAAAGACAGGCACGTCTTCCTGGAGACCAGAGTAAATTGTGTGAATCAGGAGTCACAGCTGAGTGGTGGAGCTGGATCATCATGCAGCCTAGTAGACACTCAGAGAAGCAGCAGTGCTCCTCTCATCAACAACTGGAGCGAGCAGTGCCTATTCCATGACCTCATTTTCAGTCTTACTATGCAGAGACTCAGACTCAGGCTGCACCTTCCTGGATATGGAGCTCTGCAAACATCCTTCCACCAGTGACACTGTGAATTTCAATTTAGTGTTAAGAAGCTGTGGGATTGAGTGGTGTCTCACTGTGTCTGTGAAGAAACTAACTGATAAGTACAGAAGACAGTTTCATGTCTACAGTTGCACACTTTTATATATTTTTTCACTGAATGGATGTTGTTATACACATAACCCCTGAGAAAACACACTCCAAGGGTATGAGCACTTGATCCAAGGCCACAACCCTGAAGGGAACAGAGCCCAGAGTCACAACTGGGCGACTTCTTACCTTCTGATGCATCCACAGATGAGATGGCAGGGAAGGAGTGTCTATCTGAGCTGAATTCCTACATTTGCCCACAATTCTCCATAAAATTTTGTAGGTGTTGAGAAGGTCATAAAATGAACCCTAAGGTCTTAAGGAGCTGACTCACCAGCACTAGAAAAGTCTAGGTTGTCAACTGTTTGGGACCTCACCCTCCTGCAATTTCTGTCCCTTGTGCTCAGACATAGGCACATGCCTCAGCTGCTGCTAGACTGGCCACCAGTGATACTCACCCTCATAGGGACAAAGAGCCAGAGCCACAAGCAGGAGAGGCAGGCACAGCTTCATGCTGCTTGTTTTGCTTTGAGCTAGCAGCTTTCCAAAGGTGAGAAAGCTACACTCTCCACCAGAGCCTTTGGGGAAGGAAAAATGTGGAGCTATTTATTTCAGATCAACCTCTCTCTTATGACACACAGGAGGCATACGTGGCAGATCAGCAGAGCTGGAAAGCAGCCCTTCTTCCTCAGCCAAGGCTGATGACACGCCTTAGGGTCCTCCCTCTATCCAGATTTAGGAAGAGACCAGCAGGGCAACCCAGGGGAAATTTGTCTGTCCCCTAGGTCTCCATTCAGGTTCCTGTAGAAATGGTTCCTAGAGCCTCAGCTTTCCTGAGTATTTCTGTTTTCTGTCTCAGATCAGAGGGGCATCAGGCAACAGTGGTTGTTTGTAAGCACACAAGTACGTACGAAGACCCCACTTTCATACTAAGGACAGCCATGCAAGTCTGTTTCAACTTCACACTGCTCATCTAAACAGATCCTTCCACCCTCTCTGTCCTTGCTTCTTCTGCCTCACCACATAAGTAGCATTCAGCTCTCCTGAATACTTTCCTCCTTTGCAGATGTTTTGTGTATAAAACCCCATTTTTTTTCTTCCCTCCCTACTTCATAACATGAGTCCTAGGATGGGGTGCACTTTTCAGTGGAATCAAAATTTACCTTTTCTGTGCACTAAGAGAGCATCCAGTGAGGAGGAGGCAACTATTTCCAGCACAGGGCTGATAGGATGATTCTGTGGCTTCTGTTCTGTTTCCCTATGAAACTCAAGAGAGTCAGAAGAAATAGAACATTGGTAGTGTTGATGGCTCACCCAGCATGGGTCCTGATGAGAAGATCATGAGAACGAGGGAACAGGAGAAGAGGGCAGCCACTCACGGCCTTCTGCTTGAGTTTAAGTTCCCCAGCTCAACCTCAGCATGGTGTCCTTTCAGTGAAAGGCTGGGCCAGGTCCTGTCACAGCCATGCACCCCTCTGTTGCCCACTGTGGACCATCTTGCTCCCCATGAACAGGAGGAGTTTTCCAGCATCCAAGTGTCCTGCTTAAATGAGAAGATAATAGAAAGCAGTCAGCAGAGGGGTCAGTCACAGAAGTACAATCCAGTCTAGCCCATGCCTTGACATGGAGTGAGGTTCTTGAGTGAAAGCATGACTATTTGTGTTCAGAGCCACCATTATGGGTTTTTGTATCTGAGAAAAATAATGCAATTTATATAACCCAGTTTGCATATCGGTACCAGGGGCTTAACAACAATACACATAATAGGATTGAGGGGAAGATTAAAAGAGTGTATGTGCTTAAAATTTAACTCCATTTGACTCATACCAGTCTTGAATAAAGATAACAAGCAGTTTTTTGCAATCATTGTCAAGCGTGCCACAGGTTGTCAACATTTCCTACTTTACCGTTTGGTCAAGTTCAACAAAACTTGATGTTAACAACTATATAGAAAGTGCTTCCTGTGAACCAGCCTCTTCTGGAACTCAGACTGGAAAAATAGAAGAACCACCACCATCGCCACATGCCTCAAAAGCAATCATCTGATGCAGAGAAACACAGGCTGTTTTGATAGCAATTGAGATGAAATGCAATTGGATGCTTGTGATGTTTGATATTTCATATAATTTGGGTGTATCCAAAGGATAATGATATACAGTGTGGCATCTATGCGGGATCTCCTTCTAAAGGGGTAGTCATTGTTAGTTCCCTATTACCTTATTTTGAAGTCCTTTCATTTCCTTTTGGGTTGGGTTTTATTCTGTTTTGTTTTGTTTTGTTTGCTTTTGTTATATGTGATGGCATGGGTAGCTACTTCAAAGTAAGCAAACGATTATTTTAGCCATTTTGGATTTACTATTGTCTTGTTTTAAAGTCCTTTATTGCATTCATTATTTTGTTTTTATTGGTTCTGTTCTATTCTTTTCTGTTTTGTTTGACCTTTACTGTGTCTGAAGGTAGCTGCGGCTAGTTTGAAGACAAAAAGAGGTGTTGTGGTAACCATTGTTGATTTCGTATTGTTTTGAAGTCCTGTGTGATTTACACTGGTTTGTTTTCATTGGGTTTGTTCTGTTGTATTTTCCTCAGTTTTCTTCTCTTTAAAATAAAAAAGTGAACTAAAAACAGCTATACAGAATGGTGTATATATCCCACTTGTGTTATGAATGGCGAGGAACCAGCTCATTGTGTCTGAAGCTCCACAATGGTCTTAGTTAAGGAGGGCATAGCTTGTCTACAGTGATGGAGAATCCCATGGTCTCTCACCAAGCTGTGTCATCAGCAATACAACAAACAGAAGCCTCCCACAAGCTCTGTTTGAGTAACTTTTAACTCTCCTAGTTCTCGACATCTGTTTATGATGTTTCTTTTATTTTAAGGATGGCAATTTTTATGGCACTCTTGTTTTTTGCAGAGTTGGCTTCCATTGTTCTCCTCTGAGGGAATTGGTGCCGAATGACATTCACTTTGCTCCTGCTTCCCATCTCAGGTTATGCTGCACTGTGCCGCTTGTCTAAGCACCAGTACCAGAGGCTGTACTTTACTATTTAGGATCAGTGACCAGTGATCATTGATCAGCGATCAGAGACCATCTGCCCCGTGACTGTGGCTGCACAGAAGCCAAGTCCTGATCAGCCTGTTTTTCCTTAATTGATGGCTGGTCTTAGTGTGGGCTCACGGTCAGTGTGAAATGAGGCCATCTCTTCAAGTTAGGCTTCCCTTTGAGCAGTTGAAGGAGAAATGCTTGTGTCATTGTAATGATATTGAAAGAAACTCAGGTTGTCCTCTCTATTTGGTGAGCTCTTCAGGAAAAAAACGACTGTCCCATCACCATTACACTGTCATTTGCTGTTCCAACTAAGCTTAATACACCAACAACATGATTTTCATTCAAGCTGGACACTTGAATTGTCAAAATGTCCTGTGTTTAGTTGGATCTCTCAGTGAAGAGGATTGGGCCTGAGGTATTTGGGTGCTAGCAGTGAAGGAGTCCCACAAGGTCATCCGAGCTGTCCATGCCCTCCTCTGTGCAGATGCACAGGGGAGACAGGCAGTACTGAGAAATGGGAGTTGGGGGGCTGGGGATTTAGCTCAGTGGCATAAGCACCTGCCAAGCAGGCAGTCGTGAGTTTGATCCCTGGTACCAATAAAAACCAAAAAATACAAAAAAGAGAGAGAGAGAAATGGGAGTTGGATCCAGTGACCAGAGGCACCGGAAGCACAGGCAGAGCCACTCGAGCATCTGTAGAATTCGCCGTACTAAACAGAGAGTCCGAGGGGTCTGGGAGAACAGAATTAAGGAATGCAGGAGGCTGAAGGCTGCTTATGTGTGGGCCACACCTGATGGCTAAGTTGACCAGGAACAAACAGGTGTATGGGGTTAGTGGAAAGAATTCATCATAGGAGTGCAAGATGAGCCAAATGAAGTGTAGTTTCCATCTGGCCTGGTTAACCACGGTGGCCAAATGGGTGAGTGAGGTGTGACACCTCCAGAGTTTCTGTCTTTGTTTCCATTCTGAGCTTCAGATCTACTTCAGAAGGACTTTTAAACCTAATGTGTTGCAGTTTTATAAACAAGAAATCAAAAGTTGCACATTACACTGCCTACGGAGATCAAAAAAAATCTATGCCATGTTAGCAGGAATGCGAACTATGGCATCATCTAAGAAAGAGAGTAGACATGTTTCCTGACAAATAATAGCAGATGCTAACAGTGTGATGCCCAAGAGTGGTCCTAGCTGCTGAGGAGGCTGAGGTATGAGAACTGCAAATGCAAGGGCAGTTTGAAGAGATCAGGATCATCCTGAGACAAAAGCTCTTTGAAGGCAGAGCAATTAGTGGTAGAGGTACCAGGTGGGGGATTCAATCCATCCATCCATCCATCCATAAACTCTTACGCCCCTTATTTTATCATTGTTAAAGTGAAAAACAGAGAGTAATAAACATGTTTAAGGTTGAACAATTGTGAAGACAGCAGTTCCAGCTCTATCTCTGCATACATGTAATTTGTTGACAAAGCAGTGTATTCAGCCATGCAATGGGTTGGTTAGATTTCTGTGGTGTGACAATTTTACAGGACAAAAAAGCCATTTTTGACTCATGGACTAACAGTTCTGTGATTGTATTGCTTTAAGGCCCCTGTCAAGGTAGAATCATGTGCCTTGGATCCTTTTAATGGAAGCGTGTGGCATCCATGAAATTTGTACAGATGTGTAGAGAACCAAAACAAAGAGAATTATCCAAGTGATTCTGAAGCAAATTGGAAAATTGAAAGATGTGGCTTCTATCATACTACTGTGACTAACTATAATACGAATCAAAGCATTTTCACTACAGCCCTAAGAAAGCACGGGTGCATTTGCTCTCAGTGTACAGTGCCGGAGGACATCTCTGAGTCTCCCTGTGTTCACTGACTGAGAAGCAGCTGGAGCCTCACTTCCTGGATTCAGGCTCAACTCTACCATTGTCCACCACGCAGCATTCTGCAGGCTTCACCTCACAAGGCTCTTAGGCTCATGTGTAAACTACAGGTGACAAAATTATTGCTGCTTCATAAGATCTGTGAACAAAATTATCGGATTAATATAAGAAAAGTACTGGCAGTGTCCAGCAGTAAATGTCAAGTATATGAAGTTAGGAAATGTTGGAGGCAGTGACATAGAATAAACCACCCTGAACCCAAAGTAAACTATGAAAAGGGCTTCAACTGATTCTGTCAATAAGGAACATTTATTTATGATAAATGGTAGCCAAATGTGCTACAGAATCTGAGTCCATTTGCACAGAACCCTCTGACCCCAATGAGAAAATATTTTCTTATCAAGATGGCGTATTGCTTATGGTCAGGTACAAGAACCTGTCACTGTCATTATAATATCATTAATAATGACATGTAAAACTAAAGGTATAGGAGGGAGTTTGTGAAGTAGATAGTGTTTCTCCCAAGGCACACATCTTCTGTCAGCTGCCCTAGTCTGCAGGACATGTGGAGGCATGGGAGATTGTCTACTGACCTGGTAATTAAGTAGGTTGGAGGTTGGAAGCTTTTGAAAGTCACTGGAAGGTCATGATGACCACAGAGGTTTTCACCACATTTGTGTGATATGTTCACAAGGTAGTCTTGCTTTTTAAAACTTTTCCAATTTGACGAAAAGAAGACATACCATCTTTAATCTCTATGTTAATACAAAGCATTGATTCTGAGCATAGGCATCCCTAGACCTCAAAGAAACAAATTAAAGCAGCTTATTGCTATGAAATGTTTTCGTCTGCCACAGGTGTAAGATTTCCTGTTTTTTAATAAATTTGTTGTGTTTGTCAACAACTGGTACATAACTGTCCTTTTAGACTATGACCCAGGGATTTAAGAGAATCAAGCCTTTTACATTTCCTATAAATTCATTCTTTTCTCATCTCTCCATTCTTTGGATAAGGACATGTGATAAAAATATACAGTAAATGCTGAAGTTTTTAAAAGATGATAATAAATGTAAACATTGCCCTTAATCTTTCCTCGGATGTTACTCTGAATTTTCAGAGAGAACTGTATTCTATGATGTCTCCTTCAGGAAATGAATCAAGGAATGCCCAAAAAGCTTGGGTTCTTATTGAATTTTGAAAATACCAACTGCCCATCTGTTTCAATGTAATATTTCTTATGCTGACAGCTAGTTCTAGTTTCACTTGGGAAAGATGTTAGAGTTGGAATTCCCCCTGCTCCAACACAGAGACCTCTTACATCACTGCCTGTAACAGGGACCTCCCTGTATTGATCAGAGCCTCTACTGCTTCAAGCTGTCTCTCAGATACAAAAATTTCTTATAAGAATGCTTTAAGCCTTAAAAACGCAGTTCTCCTTTTATATTTGGAAATAACTTGAAGCTCACCTAAACACTGCAAATCTATGTTGAGTAGAATCACCAGTATATACAGTTATACCATTCTATTTATTTTGGACATCTTCCTGCTTGCTTGAAGCAAGCTTCTTGGTTCACATCTGTGCGCCCAGCACAAGGAAATGAATACATAGAAACAATATTTT